TTTCTTTTTACCCTCGCCTTTTTCTTCTGTGAGTTAGGAAGCTGGAAATATTCTCCCTCACTTACAGGAAGGAGTTTATAAACACACATTCCTCAATGTGCGCTGATATTTCCTGGGGGGGGTCATTGGGGCAGCCAACACTAAAATCTAATCCAGGATTTTTCCAGACCAGGCCAGCTCCTCCTGACCAGTTGGAAGTGCGGACTCACTGAAACAAGGAACGGGGCATGAAAGAAAGGTGAAGACCAGGGACCAAGAACTGCCAGATGATGGCATAGATTGAACATGTTTATGGAAGCCATCATGCATGACAAGTTAAATCACTTTTAAGTCAATAATGTGGCACTTCCATTCCGATGGCCTCAGAATTTGGAGAAGCAGCATCGTTCAGAGGGAAGAGGTGGGCTTTGGGGTGAGACCAACTTGATGTAAATCTCAGCTCCGTAACTTATTGGCTTTGGGTTCTTAGGCCTTGAGTTCCTCCTCCATAAGTTGGGATGGTAATAACTACATCACAAGGCCATCGCTAGAACCAAATAGCAGAGCAGGCCTCGAGAACAATGGGTTTTGGAAGCTGAGTCCTGGGTCTCCCACCCACTGGGAGACTCCGGACAATTAACATAATCTCTGCACTTTACTTTCCTCCTTTGTAAAATAGTATCATAATAGCGACTCCCTCGGAGTCGTACTGTGGATTAAATGAGAGGTGGCTAGAAACAAACGAAAAAGAACACCTGGTACATGGAAAGGGCTAAGAAAAGGTGAGCTATAGGGCAGCATCACTGTGAGGAGCGTGGGCACCAGCACTCGAGACCCATATGTGACTGTGGCCTCCGCCAGCTGTGTGGTCTTAAGCTAGTGATGTCACCTCGTGTCTCAATATCCTCATCTTAAAATGGGAATAATAATAATACATGCCTGGTGGGTTTGAAAAGAGGATTAAATAAGAAAATATATGGAGAGTGTTTAGAAGAGCACCTGGCACCTAATAAGTGCTCTATAAATGTTCATTGTTGCTACCCTACATTATTCTTATTTCCTTTCCCTGTCTTGGTGTCTGTAGGATTTCTTGCTCCTATCTGGATGAAGGGAGACTGCACTGAAGGCTGAAGTGAGTGACTCTGAGTGGGGCTGGCCGAGGTCTCTGCGGGCCCAGAGCTCTGGCCTGGCTCCTTCACAGCCTCGGGCCTTTAGCCTTGCCTCCTCGGAATGGGCCCAGGGGCCTGCAGGGCCCCATTTTGGAGCTCGCTTTGCGGTCAGGCAGCCATAATCTGTCCCTCGAGCCACACCAGAGTCTCATTAAAACGTGCCCCATAAATGTTAAAAAATTTACACATAAAAAAATTCCATGCATGAAACTGAAACCGTAGGTTTTACAGCCTCGGTTTGAAATCTTGCATAATATATAAAACCTTGGCCCTGCACTGGGGGCCTGTAAATCAGATTTTATAAAACAAAAAGCTTTTACCTTTCAAAGGGGTTTGGGGAACTTGCAAATTTTACGAACTTTACCAACTGCCAGTCAGAGGCTTCGGGGCCCAAGCTAGGGATCTGTGGGCCCAGGTAAGAAAGAAGCCTGGTGAGCACCGGGTGGGTGTGGGAATTGGAGTGGATGGTACCGCAGGGGAGCTAACCAGGGGGCATTCCAGCTTAGCCACCAGGAGCTGGAAATGGGCGGTAGAAAGGGTCAGAATGTGGAGGTCCAGGCAGAGGTGGTGGAGGTACTCTTTATAAAAGAGGGCTTTATTGCCCCCAGGGAGACGAGAGATGGATGACATAGTGGAGGGAGCACCATATTAGGAGCCCGCAGACCTGGTTCTGGTCCTGAAGTAATTTCCTTCTCTGGACTTTGGTGTCTCCATCTAAGAAATGGACTTGCTTCTGTCTATGGTGTGTTTTCCCCTAATGTGCTGTGGGAGAAGCTGGCTAACTGGGAAGGGAAATTCCCTCAGAAACTACAGTCTGGGAACCTCTCTGATCTTTGGGCAGTTTTGGAAGAGCTCAGTTTGCCATTCCCATGGGAACTTGTCAGGGAGACTGTCGGGAGCAGGGGAAGGTACACATGCAATTTGCTTGGAGGAGCGGGGGACGAGCTGGAGGTGGGAGGATTTGTGTCCAGTGGTGGGCTTGGTGAGGTTGGGGAGAAAGCAGGCTCTGGTCTTGAGAGCCCAGGATGGGACAAAAATTGGGGGACCCCAGTGTCCTCCTGACAATCCCATCTGAATGTCAATATTCAAGGGCATAGAAAAGCTTCCCTGACACACACATATATATATATATAAAATAAATCTCTCAATTATCTCAGCTCATTTGCTTGGGGTCTCTCATTTTATGTCCCTGCTCCGCTGCGCAGTATATCTGTCCGGATAAAGAGTTACAGTCCGTTGGGCTACGTGTGCGGGGTTGTAAAAAATACAGATGCCAGATTAACTGGCTGTGGCACTCGGCAGCTGATTGAGCTGATAATGATGCGATCTGACCTTTTTCTAATTTCTAATTATGTGCATCTCGGCTGTGCTGGCTACATGATTCTTGTTTTAATGATGGCTCCTGTGGTTGGCCTCTTCATCTGCCCCCTCCTGATACAAGACTATAAGAGGGGCAGTGAAGGGCACTGTTTGGCTCCCCAAGCAAAGTTTCAGGGGCCCAGCCCCAGTCTGGATGGCCAGGAGGCGAGGCTGAGACACTGGAATGCCTTGCCTTAGTGATGCTGCATTTGACATTAACCTTCTGGGTGACATGTGTTCTTTAAAGGCCATTTAGTTCCACAAGCCATCTCACTAATATTTTTACTACAGTCACTTGAGATAGGTGTATGAGGCCTACAGATGAGGAAACCAAGCTTCAAAGGAGTGAAGTCATCAATTTACACAGCCGGTAAGCAGTGAAGCCAGACTCGGGCCTTTCATCTCTAAGTGGTCCTTCAACTGTCCCCATTAAAATAATTGACCAATCAACCAGTCATGACTGTGACCAACTCATTTAGGTAAATCAGGTCCACGTGAGTGGATGGGATGGATGTCCAAAGACTGCTCCACCAACGGGACCATTCCCAGCCCTGTCCCCTGAGATAGAAGACCAGGAAATGGCAGAGGGCTGGGGCCGCTGGGGCAGCTTCTACAATATCCACTTCCCTAGGTCAGGCTTGGCACTTAACAAACACTTAACCCAGGTTTGATGGATTGAATCAGGAAATCTGATTCTTTGAGTGAACAGACCCAGAGGGACCCAGGCAGTGATGGCCAAGGGAGGGCGTGGAGTTGGACACTTTTTAGCATTTTTTTAGTCTGTGCTAGAATAGGAGCTGTCCTAGGTGGGTCTTTCTTAGCTCACCTGGCAGGTGGTGGTGGGCAAGGTGTGGGAGGCTTATTTCCCCAGGACTTCCACCTCTGAAGAAGGCTTAAATTCTTTCACATTACTCAGTCTGGTTGTAGGTATTTCCTATCAATTCAGGTCTCAGTTTTCTTTTGGTGTCAAGTGAGGGGACAGGGCTTTGACCCCTCAGGTCCACTCTAGCTCCCACAGAAATGGCTGCTTCACCTCTGGCTCCATGGCTGCTGTGAGTGTAGGAGCTGAAGACCTGCTTCACAAGTGCAGTGCCAAGATTCTGATTGGTTGAACAGCAGGGCGGGGCCAGAGCAGCCTGCACTTACTGTGTGACCAATTGGGGACCTGCACGGGGGTGCTTTCCCAGGGGGCCTGAGAGACAGTGGTCTGGACTTCTGGGCAGTGTGGCTGCTCCATCCAACCAGGGCAGAGGGAGGGCCAGAGATGAGCAGAGGTGGGTCTGAGGCTCTCGGACACCTGCACTAATACTGCTGACAGCAGGCAAGTGTGATCCTCTGGTCGAGGTCTGCTCCTTCTCTAAATGCATTTCCAGGCCAGGGCAGGCTCTCCTGGTAGCTCTTCCGGACTCCATAAATATCATATTCAACTCTTGACAGAAGCAGTGGGTGGATAATTCACAACACAGAATAATACCCAAGTCATCGAAGTCTGTTCTACGAGGGCACTATGGGGTGTGTGTGTGCACGCACACGTTTTGTTCCTTCCTTTTTTGGAGCCACATTTGCTTTTCTAATTCTGTTTCCCTTCTGGGATCAGGCACCAGCTAACCTCTGGATGTGAGAGGTCAACACTGTAATCAATCAATTTGTGGAGGAGAGTTTTGCAGACTTTTCAAATCATCATGGATAATCTGGGTGGCCCACCCACAGAAAAATCAAGAATTGTGGCTAATAATTCCAGGATGACCATTTATCGTGATGAATGAACAGAGCCATTGCTTTCTCTCTATTTTAGCAGAATTCCTAGGGCTAGATGTAAATTTCAGATGCCATATAATCGGGTGATTACCAAACTTTGATGATTGCAATTGCCCAGGAAACTTTTAACAATGTAGACTCAGGCCCCACCAAACTTAGCGAATCCCAATTTTGAGGTGGTGGAGCCTAGGAATATGTATTTTTTTAAAAGGCTGTAGTGATGATCTGGATGGCGAAGGAGGTTTGGGAGCCTGATCTACTGTGTCCCCGTAAATGGGCAGGATATCTGCAGCTCCCCTTAACATGACTGTGTTTTCAGGACTTTCTATCTACTGATGTGCTTGCATATGACTATCACCTCATCCTTCATACGGCAGTGCACCAGCTAACCAGAGTTACTTACACACCAGGACTCCAGGTCTCAGAACTGTCATCCCAGGCATTCTGGGTCCTCTCCTCCTATCTGTACTGCAAGAGGCTGGGTAGTGAGATGCTGGTGCCGCAGTGGGCTGAGGAGGGATGACCTTTTCCAGCAAAACCTATGCATGCAGCTCTTGGTTTGAGGAACTTAGAAATGGTTCTCAGCTGCTAGAAGGTGCATCTAGTGCCTGCCCCACAGAGGGCACGCAAAATGTTTTGTTGAATGAATGAATGAAAGGATCATTTCCAGGACATTTGTAGGGGAGTCAGAGGGGAAGAAGACCCTAGCTGGGGTGGGGGTTGGAGGGTCTTTACCAGATTGTCCAGTTCTGGGTCATCGCTGAAGAAGGGTTTGTGCTCCTGCTCCTGCTGGTGGACAAAGTTCTCGATGTCCACGTCAAAGCTGGCGGACGTGATGCACTCAGAACCCTGGGTGGCCTGTTCACATTTCTCAAACAGCAGCGTCAGGAGCGGGAAAAGAGGGTGCCTGTGGGGACATCAAGAACTCACACATGTGCACACTGAGACCTGCTGCTGGCTGGGCTCAGAAGCCACCAGGGTCCCTTTCCCACACTCTCGTCATTTCTTCTCCCAAAGTCCCACTCCTTGAGAACATCCCCGGTCCCCATGGTCAGCCTAGATGGCAGCATTTCATGCCCTAGCATGGAGGATCTAGTCTCCCATTCCTGGGACCTCAGAGGGCTTCTCTTCTCCCCAGAGGATGCCTAACTTTTCTCTTTGGTCAGAGAAGCTGCATGAATCTTTGATGAGGGTGCCAGGTGTAATCTTTCAGAGAAGTAGGTGTCCATTTCTGGTTCAAGGTCAACCCAGGAAGAAAATGTGGACGTGCCTGGGTATGAGCAATAGTGGTTGGTCACAGACCCATTCCTGGCCATCTGGAGCCGGCTGAGGGGCAGCACTTGTGTGTCTGCAAATGCATACAGGGGATGTGTGTGAGCCTGAATTCTCATCCACATGTGGTAGGCAGGTGTCTCCACCTGTCCTGCATCTGTTAGCTGACTTAGTTCAGGCCAGACACCCAGTTACATGGACAACATCTCCCTGAACTTTTCCATCATCGCACACTTAGCACATCTGTAATTAAATGATTATTTGCTTTGTTATTTGTTCGAGATTTTCCTCCAGGACTGTTCCAGTCTTAATGATCATTGTATCCTTAGGACCTTGCCCCTGCGTGCTCATAGCAGGACATGATTAGTTACTGTCAAGGAACTAAGGACTGAAGAGTATTTGAGTGAGTGTGTGTGGTGTGTGGTGTGGTTCTCTGATGTATTATGTAAGCTGAAGGGCTTACCTGCCTGGCTCTGTGGTTCTTGGCTGAGTCGTCACCCACAATGGGAATCTCCCTTGACTGCCCCTCCCCCATCTTACGTTGATGGCTCCTTGAGGTCTTTGCTTTATTACCTGCCTTCTTCACTGAGCTACATGAGGGCAGGAAGCAAGCCCACCCTATTCATCGCTATCTGTCCAGAGTCTAGCAGAAGTATGGGGAACCCAATGAATATTTGTCGAATATATGTATGTTATGCGTGTGTCCCTACGTGCACATATAAGTGCACATCATTCTGATTTCTCTGCAGCAAGTGAAAACTGCTGTCTTAACACCCAGTGTGTGTGCTTGTGTTTGCACGGGTTGTTGACACTGGACCCTGGAGCCCCATTCCCTCCCACAGCGGTCCCCAAAAAGCATCTGCACATCTGCGCTTGTCTGTTTCCGCAGTCCCCCGGGACCAAAAAGAAATCAAGCTCTTTCTTTTTGAATAAGCCCTGGTTGCTGAAATGGGAGAAAGTATGTGTGTTGGGCCTGGCCCCCAGGCCTCTGCCAAAGGGGGTGTTCTGGCCATCATTGTCCAGTAGGATTTCTGCAACAGTGGAAATGTCTGACAGTGTCTGCTGTGTAACATGGTAGCCACTAACTATTTGAGGTCAACAGACATTTAAAATATGACTGTTGTGCCTAGGACACTGAACTTTTAATTTAATTTAATTTTAACTAATTTTAATGTAAATAGCCACATATGGCTAGTGGCTACCATACTGGAACGCACAATAAGACTTGAAAAAAAATATAGACTGTGCTTTTCCCACCCAGCACACTATGATTAAACACACCGAGAGAAGGACCGAACAGCCAGCCTGCACCATGTTTGTAGGTGGATGGGGGAACCCTACAGCCTGTCCCATTCTGGGATTCTAATAATTCTAGGCAAAAAGACCGAAGGTGCTAAGCCCCATCCACATCCACACTCAAACCCATACCTGCTGGTCATTCTACTCAGGCTCAGAGGCAGTGTGGGGTGGGGTGGTGGGGGGACAGATTCCTGCTTCAGATGAGCTGCCTGGCTTGGTGGACCCTGCACTGGACACTACCTGCTTGACCCGTCTTGGGAGCTGATGCATTAACAGCTGGGCCCCAAGGCTGTAGGCTGTTTGTAGTCCGGAGGGAAAAGAGGGTCAAAATCTGAGGGTGGTCCATCTGCAGCCCCAAATCTCTAGGAGCTCTATTCAGCCCCTGCAGAAAGCTGGTTTGAAAAACAATGGGTTCACTTAGCCATCCGGCTGAAGACAAAGAGAAACCAGGTGAAGGGGTTAAACTCCAGTATAAGTCTTCATTTGCAGCCACTAATACCGCAGCATATTATAGTCTAATCTAACCTGATCCCAGTTTAATGCAAGATTCTCCCGGCCCTGAGTGGAATACCAAAGAAAGCCTCCGTGGCTGTAATTGAAGCAGAGCCTGCAGTGGTTTAGCTGAGGGACATGAAAGGCAAATTCCAGACGGTGTTATGAATTATTGCGCCTGATGAACCTTCCTACTCTCAACAGATGCCTGCTGCCATTTAAACAGCCACTAGATCAATTAGGAATGAAAGGCACAAATCGACTCTGTACAAGGGCACTAAATTACCAGGAACTAATAATCCGCAGCACCGTGCCAGGTGGTGGGGTGCACCCCCGCCGGTCACCGCTTGCTCCCTTCTCACTGGTTGGAGGGAGGTGGGCAGCTGCTGAATGCAGAGGGGATGTGTGTGTGTGTGTGTGTGTGTGTGTGTGTACACATGTGCACCTGTCAACGAGAGCCAGTGTGAGTGTTGTATAAGTGTGCTGTCCGGTGTGTTTTTATTTTGTGTGCACACACAGTGTTGGGTCTATGCAGTGTGTATGCATGTAGGTTGTATATACAGACTGGGGTGCAGATTTTTTGTGCTGTGAATACAGTGTGCATAGGCCCTATGTTGTGTGCAGTGTGTGTGCATGTGCCATGTGTTATCTGTATGTGATTGTGCGGGGATTGAGTGTTATGTGTACACAGCACTAGTGGGTGTGTGGCAGGGGAAGAGGGATCTGCTGGTAACTACATCCTTCAGCTACTAGCACTAGAGTTGGGGTGGGAAGAGGAGGGCGGTCTCCTCTGCCACTGTCCTTGCCCCTACAGGGAGGAGAGTGATCAGGGAGGGCCTCTCTGAAGAGGCGACATTTAAATTACGCCTCAAGTGATGAGGAGGCAGTCATACAAAAATCTGAGGGAGGGGTGTTCCAAGCAGGAGAAAAAGCAAAGCACTTGAGATAGGAATGAGCTTGGCATGTTTCTGGAACAAAATCCAGATGAGCGGGGCTGGAGCAAAGTAGGCAGGAGTGGAATGGAGAGAGATGAGGTTGAAGAGGTAAGCAGGATTCAGATCATAGGTCTCAGAGAGAGCTGGGCTTTCCGGGGGTCTGAGGGTGGGGTGGGTGGAGGCATTGTCACATACATTGGGAAGCACCTCCTATGCAGAGCCACAGCGTGGGTCTTTTCTATAAACCTCTCACTTCCAGGTTTCAAATGTCCCCAGAATGTGTGTGTGTGTGTGTGTGTGTGTGTGTGTGTGTGTGTGTGTGTGTGTGATATCTAGGGATGTTTTCTATGGCTTCTGCCACATGCTTCTACGGAAACAAGCTTTCCATCCTTTCCCCAAAATTGACCAAGGGCTCATGGAGCATAGAGCATGCTTCATGGATGCTGGCATGGCTGCCTCTCTCCAGCCCCTGCCCTCCTGAGCCAAACGATCAGCTCCCAAATATTCCTTTCTCATACTCCACCCTCTCCAGGCTCCTACCTCTGGCTCTACCCACCCTTGGATCCCTGAGCCTAGGAACTCAGATGGCATCTGAGCTTAGCCACAGTTTTTCACGTGCACAGCAGCCAGGAACAGCGGGGCTCCCTGTGGCTTCCATGCTCTATACACCTGGATCCCTCCATAAACCCAGACTGTCACCTTCTACCTGCTACCTCAAGTGTAGGGACCACTGAGACACTTTGAACTGCCCTGAGAAACAGACTCAGGTTCCCAATGACTCAGCAGGGTTTGTAGCTGCAGTCATGGCATGGGCCTCTCTAATGCTGTTTCCAGCCCAGTACCCAGTCCCTTCCTCAGCTGCCAGCCTACACCTGCTGAAGGGTTGGCCAGTATTTCTAAGCTACCCTCCAACATCACCCCATATAGGTGGAGATGAGGCTGGCAGCCACCTTCAAGGAGCCCTTTCTAGCAGGGTGCAGGGTGGGGTGAATAGGGCAGGGACCTTGAGAGCTGGGCAGCTGAGCCACCTGGGACATGATGGTGCTGTGTGTGCCAGGCATGGATGGGAAGAAACCTTTCCAGTTAGGCATGGGATATTGGTTCTGTTATACTCGGCCTCCCCTGAGCTTCAGTTTGTCCAACTAAAATGGGCTTTAAGGAGTTGCTGTTGCGCTGTCTGGGTCACTGTCACGTTCAGTGGATCAATCCCTTTCAGAGGCTAGAAGCAGGAATGTGGACATTTAGTCCCAGTGCCCAGAAAACGATGAACAAGATGTGAAAGATGGCCGTTCGACTTCATTTCCAAAGAGCAGAGGACATCTGACCTCCATAAGAGCTCACCATCTCCCTCCCTGATCTCTCCCCTCTTTTCCTCCATGTCTCCTCTGCCTGACCGCCCCCCTCCACCCCAATCTCTCTTAAGCCGTTCAAAATTTGGAGGAAATAAATCTCACCGCACCAATTCAGTGAGAGTTTGAGCCTCGTCAGTGCAGAACAAATAAAAGGAGTGAACTGGCATGACATTTTACTGCAGGAGAGAGGTCGTTTCCAGCCACTAATAAAAAGGATTTGACACAGACTAATAAAGAGAAATGAATTTCTCTAATGGCCTAATTTAGCACACTCAGCACTGTGCCTGTGCCTGGGTGCTGGGAGGGCTGACAGAGCCAGGAGCAGGAGGGACTCGTGGCTCCAGGAGAGGGCAAGAAGGGATGATCTCAAATAACATTTTATTAGTTCTTTTTTCTTTTCTGAGTCCCTCTCCCCACCCCACCCTCAGCACCTCTCCTCAGGAGCATCTGAACCAAAATCAAGCTCAGGATACGCTGTTCCTGTTAACGATCCAAAGAAATACAGGACCCCCCCCCTTCTGCAGAATCGCAGTCGTGCGTTAGCTTAAGGTGATTAA